CACTTCATCGGACACTTTACCTGCTTTTACAACCGCAGGTACGCCGTCTCTGAGTGTAATCATACCACCTCAGCACATAAGGTCTACCGTTCCATCTTCGGTTCAAAGCACGAGTCACAATCAAGTTCATCCGTTTCAAATTCAAATGCCTCCTCAAGTGCAATTGGTAAGATGTTTTTTTTTACATTCTATAATAATAATAATACTAACGTTTTTTTTTTAAATAATTTATATTAACGCAAACTTATTTTTAAAAATAATAATAATAATAATAATTTAGATAAAAGAAAGTCCGACGGAAAAATTAAATTCGATTGCGCCTTCGACTCAAATTATAAATTCTTTCGGAAACCTTTCAACTGGACAAATTAGTACTGCTGCTCCGGCATCCTTGAAGTCGCCAATTCAAAACACTCCTTTAAGTGGAAATGTTTCGTCTGAAACAACTCCTGAAACGGTGAAAACAACGGAAAAAATCCTTCAGGAACCTAAAATGAAACCGGAAGTGAGTGAAACATGTTTTGTTTAAACCCGTATCGGCATTGTTGTTTTAATAATAATAATAATAATAATAACAATAATAATAAATGTGTAGATTAATTTACAGAAAAAGAAAAATGACGTCAAATTGTACGGAAGCAAAGTGGAAATATTTTTTCTTGAAAATAACGAATGGAAAAAACAGGGAAATGGTGTCATTGAAATTATTCTCGATGAAGACTCAAAAATGGGAAAATTTACTCTTCTGCAAGATAATTCTAATGTGCCTTACGTTTATGATTTAAATCCTAACACGGCCGTAAAATGTGTAAAATTTAATAAAGAGGCGGCAGCGGCGGCGGCTTTCGTTTGGTCTTTGAAAAACCTTCAAAGTCCTAAATCCGAAACAAATAATAAGGCATCTCCATTGGACGTGATACAAAAATCTTATTTTAAATTAAATAACGATGGAGAAGATGAAAAGTTTGAAATGGCTCTTAATAAGGTTTATAAAATATTAAATTTTAAAAAGGAAAACATTATCGGAAAAAGTAAAGCTATCAACATTGTGAAAGAAACAACAAATAAAATTGCTTCGATTAAAGAAAAATCGGAAAACTCGAGTGAAAAAAATAACAATGCAAATTTGAAAACAAATTTTGGAGGATTCATCTTTAATTCGCCACCGATAATACAACCTCCGTCACTAAAATTAAACGCCTCGAATGAAAAACCAAAAGAACAAACTAAAAATAGTCCTTTTGCTGCATTTTCTTTTCCGACAACAACAACAACCAAAGTCACCACAACAACTTTATCGGTAACCAGCACAACTACCAATACAAATACTGTTCCCAGTTTGAAGAGCATCATGTCGGAAAGTCCTTCCAATAAGAATACAAGTTCAAATAATGTTAACCTATTTAGTTCTGTGAAAGCGGATCCGAATTCATTTAAGAAAAATGAAAATTTTGTAGGTTTTGCCGGTAAGCATTGAGGAAAAAAAAAAAAAAAAAAAAATTTTAATGAATTATTATTATTACAAATGCGGGAGATTATCGTGAAAATTCTTTTCCAGGAAAAGATGTACAGGTATTTGGATACCTTAATAAATCTACTTCGAAAGAATCTTCTAAAACTGATTCGAATCAAAAAGAAAACGATAAGGAAGGAGGAGATGATGATTTCATTCCCACAGCAGAATTCACTCCTGCTGTTGATTTGCCCGATTTGGTAGATGTTAAAACCGGAGAAGAAAATGATGAGGTTTTATTCGAGCACAGAGCTAAATTATTAAAGTATTTAATAATAAATTTTATTATTATTATTTTGACGATTTGATGATCCAACTTTTGTTTTACTTCATGTTTAAAATTATTTTAATTCCAGGTTTTACAGCGATTCAAAGGAATGGAAGGAAAGAGGTATTGGAAATATAAAAGTACTTTTAAATCAGGAAACGGGAAAGGTTCGACTCATTATGAGGAGAGAACTCGTATTTAAAGTTTGTTGCAATCATTATTTGGATGAATCAATGGAATTTAAACCTTTGCCGAAAAATCCCAACGTTTTATCGTGGTGCGCTCAAGATTATTCCGATGGGGATCTCAAACCGGAATGTTTTGCATTGAAATTAAAAACTCAAGAATTGGTTAGTATACCCCCCCCCTTTTTTTTTTTTTTTGTATCACTTTCATATAATTAATTAATTGATTTTCCCTTTTATTTTTCAGATGGAGAAATTTCACACCGTCATTAAAAATACACAAGCGAAAATGAAAAATGGAAAAGTCGAAGGAATGGGAAGCGAAGAACAATCTCAAAAGGAAAAATCAAAAGAAGAACTTGTTCCTCTTTCCGAATTGTTCAAACCTAAACCCGGTTCGTGGGT